TTACAAAAAGGTAAAAAAATTGCGCAATAAATCAGTCTTCCCAATAAATAATTTTACATAAATAACTGCGACATCGTATTACCGAAGCTTGTACTCGTAATATGATTCGAGGGGACGTGGCAATGTTGCAACGCGTGCGAGCGAATTGGATAAGTCACGCTGAAGCTTGTGTGCAAGCAAATGGTGGGTACATCGAGCATCTTCTTAGAAAATCAGCAGTTCTCAAAAAGCAGTTCCTTGCAATGCCGAGGTAGCTAAGTCAGATTTTAAAGTTACATTTTACTCAACACAAATCCGTGTATTTACCTCACTTTGACATAACGGACATGCGGCAAAAATATTTGACGTAAGTTCAATAACACCCTGTATTGTTTAACTAATAAAATCATAAATAAGTTTCGAAAAAATGACAAATTATTTTGATATTTGTTTTATGTTCTAGAACAAAAAAGACTTTGTAGTTCTAGAACATAAAAGTACTTCGCAGCTAGGTGGTAAAATGTCTCACTTTGTCACCTGATTTAACGAAAAAGTCGATTTTTGATGACAGTTTCCGAAAAAGACATTTTAGTTAACTAGAACGAAATACTTTTTTGTTCTAGAATCTAGAATCTTGGGCATATTCGGAAATAACCCAATTTTTGGAGATTTTAGGGGCGTTCTCTCGAAAACGTTGGGCGCCAAACGCCAAACTGACATCAGATTTGTGTTCTGCGGATCTGAAAGCATGACAGTAACAGGGACTGATCAAAAGAACATACCACAATTTTTGTTTCGTATGCCGTAATTAACAATTACCTTAACATATTTAAAATTGAAGCTAATAAACTTCATTATTACTGAAATTATACCAACAAAAGAAACGTGTTCAGTTCCTCTCTTACGCGGATTTGATTCCGTTCACCCCCAACTAAAGCCTTACAGTTTTTCAAAGATACCGCTGAACGAGCCGAGAGAACCGCTAGCTGCTTGCATAAACGTTTCATTCAGACTTTGCTCCTGTTAATCGTGTTAATTGTCCATTCAAAGACCTTCCCAGACGCCTCCCATTGGTTCACGGTGATCACGGTGCCGTGCAACCTCCAGGCGAACCGATCATTACATCCTTCCTTCCTGTTTCCAAGTAACGTTATTGTTAGAGGAGGAAAAAAACCCGACTTAATGGGCCTAATAACGTTGCGGCACGCTTCTTCTCTTGCATTGCAAATAGCCGCGCCGTTACAGCCCAAGAATATTGTCACCTTGTAATTATTTCTGCTACACGGCTGAGCGCGACATTGTAAGATAACAGCTACCGTGGATGGGTGCAGCAGCATGGAGCGAGCAAAGAATGTTGTCTCAAGGATGTGCAGGGGAAAAATTTATTTGTTTACGTTACGAGGTAAATTTTTCGACATGGATCGGTTCAGGTTGCATTAAGTATAGGATAAGTTTAAAATTTCTAACGAAAGTTTAGGTTGTTTCACGTTTTCTTAAAGAAGTGAAATAGCAGGATAAAACGTTTTATAGGTAGGTTTGAAGAGCATAAAAATAGCTACTTTTTGACGCCAAAAAGGGTTCGATATCTTTTTTTTGTTATCAAGTTATTCACAAATTAGTGAACAAATTTAAAATACCTAATTAATATCTAATACCTAATTAATTTGTCCCTAATGAATGGTGAATTTCCTAAATCCTTTAAAAAAGCGATAACAAAGTCGTTTTATAAAAAGGGAGACAAATTTCTCCCCACAAATTATAGGGGACTCTATTACCGTCATTTTCAAAAATCCTAGATAATATAGTTAAACAACAACTATTATTATATTTAAACAGGTGTCACATTTTGGATAATTCACAATTCGGATTTAGGGAAAACTTTAACACTACAGACAATGCTTTTAAATCAATAGAAAACATCAATACGTGTTTGGAAAATAAGGAAATCCCGTTAGGCATTTTTTGAGATCTGTCCAAGGCCTTTGATTGTATTGATCACCAAATATTACTTGACAAGCTGGAGTATTATGGCATAACTGACAAGGAAAACAATTGGTTTAAAACATATTTATTTGAAAGACAGATGTGTACTGAAATAGTCGAAATAAAAAGTTATGTATCAAAAAAAAATTATTCCGACTTTGCCAGAGTTGAAAGCGGAGTTCCACAAGGTTCTATTTTGGGACCCCTGTCATTTCTGTTGTATATTAATGACTAGCGGCCCGTCCCGGCTTCGTACGGGTGCATTTATTTTAAACATTTTGGGATATAAAAAATATAGCCTATGTTACTCAGGGATATGTAGCATTTTAATGGTGAAAGAATTATCGAAATCCGTCCAATAGTTTTTGAGTTTATCAAACATACTTACATACAAAAAATACAAATCTTTCCTCTTTATAATATTAGTATAGATAGTATAGATATTCCATCCGAGAGCATTTCTTCTCCATATTTATAGTGTGAAAAAATATATGTAATGGTCTTTACTCCTATAACTAAGGTGAAGGGTCGCATTTACCATTCAGTAACAATCTAACAACAATTCAATTCTTCCGTTTTCTCTCAATCAGACAACTCGTATATAAGTTACAAGAGATGTGTTATTTAAAAAACAAAACATCCGGTAGCTATTTATTTCAAACAGTAGTTTATTTTTGTTCATATTAACTCATTTCCTAAATAGCATGGAATTCTTCTAGTAATTAAATTCTTTATCCTCGGATTTTAAGCGCTACCCAACGTAAATTTTATACTAATAGCTGAAATATT